GTGTGTGTGTGTGTGTCCACTTACTGATTCAGTTGTAACACCTGAACACAGCATTACTCGCTAGTTAGCAAGGCTGTCAGGATTTTGCTATTATATATGATGTTAGATTGAGGTAGGTGGTGGATTGATCTAACTTACATCAATGCATCATATTCTATAAGATCATCATATGTTTGTAGCGTGGCTGTCCTGTGAGAACCTCAGCTTTGTGACAGTGCATTTTACAGCCAATCAGAGAGGGATTTTAAATGGTTTATTTAGCTTAAGAAGTAGAATTCTCACACAAACATTCCAAATAAACACAGCTGGAGATGGTTCTTACTGGATAGGAAGGGTATGAACTGTAATCTGAAAAGTAACTTAAGCTGTCAGACAAATGTAGTGGAGTAAAAGTACAATATTTGCCTCTGAGATGTAGTGGAGTAGAAGTAAAGTTGCACAATGGAAATACTCAATTATAAAATAATAAAGTACAAGTACCTCTAGTCTGTACTTGTGTACAGTAGTACACTGAAGTACACAAAAGCTGACTGACTGAAAGTAACAGTCTGTATTTTGTGCCTCGTCTTGTTTCTAGAAAGAGAATGAAAACGTGTACGAGGCCAGAGAAGGAAGTAAGTTCCCTGTGAAGTGGACCGCTCCAGAGGCCATCAACGACAACAAGTTCAGCATCAAATCTGACATTTGGTCCTTTGGAATTTTGCTGTACGAGATCATGACATTCGGACAGATGCCTTACCCGGGTGAGCCTTTCATCAGCCTTCATAAATGTTTTTTTGAACATAGAGAGTGCGATTGTGTGATTTCATAGGTACCAAGTGTCTTAAAACCTTCCAGCTGAATGTTTAATGCAAAGTAATGGTCTCCTGAAAGAGACGTTATAATGTCCTCCTGTGATTCTTCCAGCCATGACGAACTACCAGGTGGTCCAGAGGGTTCCCCAGGGCTACAGGATGACGTGCCCCCCCAACTGCCCCAAAGTCTTGTACGACATCATGATGGACTGCTGGAAGACGGGCGAACAGGACCGGCCCACATTCGAGACCCTGCAGTGGAAGCTGGAGGACTTCTTCGACCTGGATGTAACCTCCTACGACGACGCAGGCCGTTACTAGCACGCCGACCGGCCTGTCAAACGTAGAAAGAGAGGGACAAAAAAACACATTCTCTCTGCAGTGACGCAAAATCACCCGAATCCAAACATAAACATGCATTCATGGTTTTATGAAATGTAATTTCAAATTCCACATTGTGGTCGAATGAAGGATCTGAAATGTGATCGATTACTGTGACTTTAACTGTCATGCAGTGAGGAAGCTTTTACTACAGCAACAGCCGGTTGCCACACTCCTGGCCTCACTTCGTTCTACAACTGAATGCACTTTGGCACAGTCTGTATACGCGCCTAGCCGGACTCTCAAGGCGCTCCTCTCTTTCATCGAGACAGAATGCTGCTATCCGTCTGTCTCGAATAACCGGTTCTTCTTGCACTCAGCATAGCACACATTCTTTCCACTGGCCACCTGCCAAACTATTAGCAGCAGTTCACCTGAGAGAGCAAGACTGAGTGAACGGCAGGTTCTAACAACTGAGCTCATTCCTAAATGCATGCATAGTTCTGGTTGTTTTTGATTTAACATTATTCAAAGGTAGGTGACTGTGTTTGGCCCCAGCAGCCAGAAAATGAAAAAACAATTAAGATGAACTCTTCATTAACAAACTAGTGAAGTCCTCTCCCTCATCTAATGAAGTTGCTATTCTCTTCTTGCCACTGTAAAAACTGCTACAAGAGAGCTAAAAATAAAAGGGCGTGGTCAGGTTTGTTCAGAGCGCTGCAGGTTTAAAAACAAATTAATGCTCACAAATTTTAAAATTTGGTCTCATATTACATTTGTGCTTGAAAATGATTAATCTGTTTACACAAATGACTGAAACACAACACCAAATGACTGGTCCAGTATGCAACATGTACAGTTTGATATAGAAACTAGAATCCACCAGTTTACAGTGAAGTAGGAGACATCCTTTGTCCGGCAGGGGAACTTTACAAAGGGACAACATTTGCATATTCAGAGATTCTGGAATTTTTAACAGTGTAGGAGTAGATTCCTTTTTAAGGGACCTTCTAAGGATTTCAATGCGGAAATTATTTCTTTTTTTAATATCAGAGACACAGTAGTTTCAAGCACACTATCTATGTCTGGATTGGATCTTAAAACGTTAAAGATTGACAGCAATGAGTTTTTCTCCTTTTATACATGCCAACCAAGACTTTTTTTTTTTTTTTTTTTCTGGGCCTCCAAGTCATGTAGTCTACCCCTGGTAGCTACATCATATCACTTCACCTGCAAATCTGCAGTGCTCTCATCCCTATCTGCTCTCATAATTGGGAACATGTAGTTGAATACATTGTTTTGTTTGTCTTCCACTATAATGGCTCAATGACTGAACACTGTGACACTGGACTTAATCCCTCCTTTTCAAATGGTTTTTGTTGAAAGCTGCAGAGCTGCTTTCAGATCTGTGGCCACGTTATTTCTGACCGCCAACGATGAAGTGACACTGCCCTCAATCAGATGCTTTTCACACATAGTGA